ACCGTAACGTACGGTAGGTACGAGTACGTCGTTCGTTCGTCGTTCTTACGTTAGTACGTACGTACTCTCTCTCTCTCTCTCTCTATATATATATATATATATATATATATATATATATATATATATCCCTAGTTACTCCATTCCAGTGGTTTCTTGTGCATGAGTTGGAGCTCATGATCATGTGGCTCTGATTACTTTGTTTAATGGCTTCTGGTGTATGAATTGGAAACCACAATCATCTCTCGTTTTCTCCCTCTCTCCGTTTTTCTTCTCACCTCTTCATTTTCTTCGCAGCTGACTGATTGTTTTTGCCTATATTTCTCTTTTCTGGTAGGAGAGATGCCTCAACCATCAGTAATCCTCGCCACTGCAGGCTATGATCACACCATTAGGTTTTGGGAGGCCAAAAGCGGAAGATGCTATCGAACGCTTCAGTACCCTGATTCTGTAATTTCAAAAACCTCTCATCTAAGTAATTCGCATTGGTTGTCACAAATTTTAGGATTTGGATAGTAATACATGAGTTTATGACTCTTTGTTTTTATTGAATCATGTCGAATACCATTAATTTGATGTTGATCTCTAACTAGTTGTGTTTTAGATTTGGGATCATTTTGGTTTGGCCGAGCCAGCATGGATTAGGGTTTTATTTTGGTGAACTTTAATTTTAAATTTTATGGATTTTTGGTTTAATTTGCTCTATCATTGGTTTCTTTTCTTCCTTCTCCCCCTAATCTGTTTCCTTGATTTTCATGTTTTTACCGATTATGGGAAATTTTCATTTTGCCATGTGAGCATATCATCTGAACTTGGAAAATGTGTGGCTTTAACCATGAGACCACAAAAAGGAGTTAGCATCAGTGCATCATTATTGAATAACTGCTTTTCAAAAACAAATACAATATTGAAAAGCGAATGATACTAATAAGAATCATTTGATTGAAGCATGATCAACGCCCCTAACAATTGATTGTGGAGATATATTTATTTCTTTAGATCAATTATTATGGACTTCCTTGACATTAGAAATATAAAATTAATCCACAGCAGTGTGTTCTACTCGGCTGAATCCACTAGGACCTGGCCCTTGGTCTAGCTGCATACCCGAGTACGACTAGGGTAATATTAAAACATAGAAAAGACCACAAAAATTATATTAACTTGTAGGAAGTATGTATAAAAATTATACATGCAATTTTGGATGTGTTTTAGAATGATTTGTGAGTTTTTATTGTCAAATGCCATATTTTTGAATTTTTATGAAATATCTCCAACCTTAAATCAATATTTTCTAAATCAATGGTTTTTACATTTTCTTTCAGAATATTTGGATTCATTATGTGAGCTTTTAGTTTTGATTCACTTTTAAAGTTTTTATTTTATTTCATTAGGATTTGTTTTAAATTTTACTATTTTAAGGCCTTTTGGGCCTTTACATTACTTGACCAAGTGCACTGGGAGTTGGCCAAGTAACCCGCCTTGGCCCAGGGCAGAGCCTCATGGCCGAGGTGAGTAAGAAAACATTTATCCCTAGTATAACAACCCTGAAATTCTTGACCGTGCTTCTTGATCTCATCTGAAACTTGGGACGCCTAAATTGATTATTGTAAATTTACTTGCCTGAAAGGTTTTGGGATGTATAGTATGTTGTGTCCTGTAAAGCCCATAACCTTATTTGGTAATCAAGCATTGATTATTAGTGTGACCTCTAACTTCATTTTTCTTATTGTTCCAGTGAATACTTGTATCTGACAATTTCTACTATTGAGTTTCGATGCCTAAGGCACTTATTGTTTTTATAAATCGTAAGCTTTTCTATATGTAGTTTTTGTAGTTTATATATGTGTAACTTTGCTGGTATAAATTACATATACTGCAAGTGTTAAGATTGATCAGACTTTCATTATGGAAAAATTGCATGGTGACCCTCATGTGGTCCAACTCCGGAAATGCGACATTCTGGAGTGGTAGTGTCATTGAGTAGGGAGGTTCAGCTTCTAAGCACTGCCCATCTTCTGATGGAGCAAAATATTCTAACATATCACCCTGACAATAATGCCCTGTGTTTCTTGTAAAGCAAGTGCCTTATCATTTTTTCCTTAATTCACTTATCTCTCTACTTATGGATGCACATGCACTGCATGCATAAATGCATACGTAGCCCAAACATATACTCCCAAGATGGCAAAGAACCATTGCACTTCCCAAACATATATTTCCAAAATGGAAAAACTCCATTAGGACATGTCCCTGTTTATTTGATTACGATTCCACTATGTTTTATTGATCTTTTTCAATGGTGGGTCCTGACATTTTCATTCTGATGTGGCAGCAAGTGAACCGCCTTGAAATAACTCCTGATAAGCAGTACCTTGCAGCAGCTGGAAATCCTCATATTCGATTATTTGAAGTCAATTCAAATAGCTCTCAGCCAGTATGTTAACTAAGGAGTTACAAGTCTCCTATAGCTCAGTGCGTATGTGTTGAATTCCTTGTCCATATAAAGTCATCACCTGACTGACATCTTCATTTCAATTTCAGGTGATCAGCTATGATTCACACACTAACAATGTCATGGCAGTGGGGTTTCAATGTGATGGCAATTGGATGTATTCAGGTTCAGAGGATGGCACTGTAAAGATATGGGATTTGAGGTGCTTCATATTTTCTCTTTTGATATTTTTATTGACGAGATGTATTAGTTTGACAATTGGCATTTGCTTTCGTTGTTTGGACCTTTATTACATTATTCTGCTAGTTGCCTGAGACATACAAGTTGTTTACCATTAGCTGAGACATACGGATTGTTTTGTATTAGCATGCATGGTTTTATTTTATTTGATGGTTGAAAGAAATTTGGTAAGTGGTAATACATATGAAGTTTATTTTTAAATCATTTCTTTTTCTCAATTTATTTACGTATTTTTGGGTAGATTTAATTGTAATTGATTTTTGTTCCATATTGTGGTTCTTAACTTCTTACTTCATAGATGGAGCACTCATCAGGCAAAAAAAAAAAAACTCTTCTAGCATTGCTAGTTTTCCTAGGGAAAAGCATATGGGAAAATAAAGTAAAAGGGGATGTGAAGGAGAATAAAGGGCCCTGGTCCTTCGGAAGGAATAGTTGGCTATGTTACCTTTGACTGGGAAAGAAAGCTGGTATGCTGGGTGAGGAAATATTTGACTATATTGTAAAGTTTCACACATGACAGTTTATTATGACAAGGAGACCAAAGAAGACTATGCTTGGGATTGTTAAATTTTATTATCGATTGAACAACATGTAAGTACATTCTAATAAGTGTTACCGAGACACTTCTTTTTAGCCTCAAGATGTATTGCATATTACTATAACACTTATTTTCCACCTCAAGATGTGTGGAAATGTTTACGTTCCGATCTGCGCTGATCTCTGGGATGAGATATGCTTAAATCTTAGCAAAACTGAGTTATTTTTGAAAAGGTAGAGAGAGTGGGGTCGCTTGAATTATGGGTTCAAAAAAATTTCAGATCTATACAGATCCAGCTTTTATTTGAGTCAATTAGCAACACTAGCTCCAAATCCGTATTTTGACTTAAAAAAAGCTTCTAAATTTAATTAAATCTAATAATGAATTAATTTTCAGAGAAAATAAAATAAAGCAGAGAATTAAATGAAGGAAAACAAACTAAATTAAGCAAAGAAAGAGATACTTACCTCTAGGGACTTGAAACCCAGAGTTTCGGGCTTGGATCATGCCGCTCTTCTGATTTGCACCACCATCACCTTTTTTGGATGCCTTTGTTTGCTGGAATTGGTAGATCTAAGGTTCTTTACCTTAGATCTAAGATTCCTAAGGCAGGGAGGAAAGCTGTGAATTTTTGGTAGGGTCTACCTAAGCTTTTCTTGGGATTTCTTGGGATTGGAGAAAATTTTCTTTAGTTTTCTAGTGGTTTTAGGATCTCCCAAGGTTGAATATGAATCCTGGGATTTTTTGTTATTTTTGAGGATTTTTCCTAATTTTTTAAGAATTTTTTAAGGTTTTTTCCTATTTTTGGGTATTTTTGGGTTATTTCTAATTTCAGGAATTTCTAAGGGATTTCTTGATCTCTTTTCTTTCCCCTCTTTTTGGGTTATGGAAGGGGGGTATGTATAAAATTCAATTGCCGATTTTTTTTCTTGAAATATTTTTGGATTTTTTTATTTATCTTGAAGTTTTACCTTATCTAATTAAAGAAAACGCCTTTTATTGTGTCATCAGGCAGCAGCCTGACGCTTGGGTCTTACAAGGACTAAATTGTCATTTGTTGGATCTTTATATCCGTAGGTCCGATTCAGGCGATTCTTGGACCGTTGTAAGGCTCTCAGGTTCTACTTCAAGTTGAGATAGGTTTTAGGCAGTTTTGGGGCAATTATATTTGGTTTAAGCTGCCTATGGTCTATGAGGGTTTGTGTGGTCCTTTAGGCTCAGAATCGAGGTTTTTAGTTCTCATAGCCAGAATTTCGAGGGGTTGTCTACAAGATATGTGGACTTGTATTGAACATGGTCGCCATGATTGGGATACCAATAATTTACAAATTAAAAATACATTACCTCATAGTATGCAATATACACTTATGTTTTTCCTTTTTAAATAACAGTTAAGACACCTTCATGTTTGCTCTGTTTCTTATATAATGATGAGTTTGGCATGGGAAATAGATGCCTTGCAAAGGAGCAACCAAGTCATGTGCTTCTCTTGCCTAACAGGCTTCAGTTAAATGGATTTGCTATGATCTGATGCACTGACACTTTTTAATTGCACCTGATTTAGGCCCAACATACAGTCAATAATCAAATAATCCTGTATTCTTCTGTTTATTGCTACTTTCTCTCATTTTTGTGTATTTTTTATCTTCTTTCCATCCCAATGAAATCATCTCGAGTTGGTTATCTACTATCGTAGCAATAAATTTCTCGCTCTCATAATATTGTTTTAAATTTCCTACGTTTCATAAAGTGTTTCCTGGCCTTTTAAGCTGAGGCATTTCAGTTTATTCTTTTTAAACTGTTTATCTTTATTCTTGATTCCATTCCTGGTTCTATTCTTAAATTTTCAAACAGGGCTCCGGGATGCCAAAGGGAATATGAAAGTCGGGCTGCTGTTAACACTGTTGTTTTACATCCTAATCAGGTTTGTCTGAGAAGCCTTTTATTTAGTCTTGGATATATTCATCATATATGTAATATTTTGTTAGAATTATTACTAAGTTGTAAACTCTATTTATATGAAACGAAGATGAATAAAAACTTCCTTTAGACATCTAAGCTTTTGAAGTTCCCATTGTTATTACAAGTTTTAGAACCTTCATACCATTAATTTATGCTGTGTTGCCAGTAAAAGCTGGCTTTTATCTATTAATAAGGTGCCATACACCTTATGTGTATTGGTCTGTGGATATCCTGGTGGTATCACACACCACACAGTACTGATGTATTATGTGTAGTATACTCTCCCATGTTCTTAATTGATCTGTATGATATATGGCCAGACAGAATTAATATCTGGAGATCAAAATGGAAATATACGTGTTTGGGATTTGACGGCAAATTCATGCAGCTGTGAATTGGTAAGTTTCCTTTATCACTTGATTTTAATTGGTTGTACTTTTAGTTTTCTCTAGGGGCCTTGTAATATGTCATTTTAGGGTAGAATGCCGAGATATGGTAACTTAATGTGTGATATATGTAATCTGTTACAGGTTCCAGAGGTAGATACTGCTGTTAGGTCTCTGACGGTGATGTGGGATGGGAGTCTGGTTGTTGCTGCAAATAATCATGGCACATGTTATGTCTGGAGGTTGTTACGTGGAACACAGGTATTCTATTCATTTTACTAGGGTTTCTAGGGTTCCCATGTGGCGACATTTAACGATTTTGTGAATTGAAGAAATAGTGCAATCGTCGCTTGCCTGTACTAAGAGAACTATTCTTTTAGGATAAGTGCCTTTACGAATAGAATACCATTATGTGTTGTAGGAAAGAAAGTTCATATCTTTTTTCCTTGATGTAACTACCGATATGACATTGTTCTGGCAAGTAATAAATTCTTCATTTGTCTATGCTAAAAATAACCGATATGCCATTGTTCTGCCCATTTTTCTATAAACCCGGATTATCTCGTTTCCCGCAGACAATGACCAACTTTGAGCCATTACATAAGCTTCAGGCGCATAATGGATACATCCTTAAGTGTCTTCTAACTCCAGAGTTTTGTGAAAATCACAGGTAAGGAAACTTTTTGAGGCCCTTTATTTAATATTTTTGTAAAATTTCAAAGTCATGATTTTGTGATATGATGCTGTTGGTCAAACTATTGTGTTCTTTTCTTTTGCTTTATGCGATATGTTAAAGTGTTCTCTCCTTAAATTATTTGCAATATAACTGCTGAATTTTCATTGCGAATGAGTTGCTATGAGCTTCAATTATGGACACGTACTAGCTGGATTATAGAGCTTGTGAACTGGAATATAGATAGGGAACTTTACAATCCAAGCCCAGGATATAGGCTTTGAAACCCCAGTCAATCTTGCCTATCGCAAACAAGCCCCTACTGCATCCTTTTTCTCAACAAACCCCTGCATATTCCATTATAATGTGTTCAAATGAAAATGCTCAGGATCAATTCCATCAAACCTTTTCGCTGTTGCTCAATCCCATCCCTCATCTCCTCAGTCCTCTCTGTCCCCTCCTTCTTCCTCTCCCTCTCCTCCATCTTCAACACTTTCTATCTCCAACCTGATTCTCTTCTCTCTAACCCAAGTCTCACACCCAGCCTGGAGCTGCTCGATCTGCTACCAAACCCCTCATCCTTCTCAATTTCAATGCAAGATTTATGTTTGTGTGTTTGAGAGAGAGAGAGAGAGAGAGAGAGAGAGAGAGAGAGAGAGAGAGAGAGA